CAGCCAATTCAACAACGTCATCGTAGGATGTCTGTGTATATATTGTAAACCTTGTTTGTATAGTGTGTAACCACACGACGCATGCGCTTATTTTTTATTATTAAAAATTAAATGCACACAAAGAAATGACAAACAAAGTTTTTTGTTTTTTTATATTAGTTGTTTAGACTAGTCGACTAATCGAAAAATTTGTCGAAAGATTAGTCGTTAGAAAATAAGTCGTTAGTGGCAGCACTAGACCTGAGGGTGTCAGTGTGGAATCAAGCGCCACCGATTCATCCTCGGCCCACACCCCCCTCTCCAGTTTTGCAACCCATGAGCATTCCGACGACTCCTGCCGGACCGTCTTCTGAGGTTCTGCCACCCCATCGTGAGTGCTCGCGACTGGGCGATTGGTTTTTGCGTGCGGCCACTGATCCTCCTCAGAATCCAACCCCAATACCTTTCTTGCCGGATGTGCATGAGGAGGTCACGAGGTCCTGGAAGACACATTTGTTTTCCAGTGATCGTTCGGCGGCCTTCTCCGCCTTTCCTCCCCTTGATGGGGCCGCTGCTAATGGGTACACTGGGGTTCCCCGGGTCAAACATTCTGTTGTGATGCAGCTGTGTCCGCAGAGCCAGCGCCGCCCCATCCCTCTCCAGCCGCTCTAAACGCCAGGCTAAGCGGCGCTACTGAGACGGGCTGCTCAGAGATGGTGGTCAATTCTTCACAGGAGCTGGTTGCAGGCAGCGCCATTCTGGTCTTCTTTTATTCTTTTAATCTTTTATTCTCCACTCCCCTCTGCTCACCCCCGGGCAGGCAGCACCCTATTGTGGTTAAAGAACGAATTGACATATCCCTCTCTGAGCCCCCAGAGCTCCCAGATGACAGTGCGCACCGCTCACAAGCCTCACCACTCTCATCCCCCTCTTTCGCCAGACCCCTGCCAGAGCACGCCCGTGTGGAACGTTCTGGTAGGACACGTTTAATGACTGTGCCCCCACCCTCAGATGCTTTACACTGCACCACCGAGGGTACATCTGTGGTTCGCATGACCCCACTGACACAGTCCTTTAGAGCCTGGCTAGAACTTCCCAACTTGTCCCGCTGGGTCGTGAGGACCATCAGGCTAACTTGTACTTCTCGCAATAGCACCTCCCTGGCCAATTCCTCTGAGATAGGACCTCCTTTCTCAGAGACAGGGAAACCTATGGCACCCTCGTCCCGATATTTAGAACCTCCACTTTGGAACCTCCAGACATGTCTGCGTGTTGAAGTGGAACCTCTTCGTCAACTGGTGCTCTTCTCATGAGATGACCCCAGAAAATGCCCGATCAGTGTCATGCTTTCCTTCCTACAAGATGAGTTGGAGCGAAGGCTGTTTCCCTCCACCCTGAAAGTGTATGTTGCCACTTTTGCCACACATCATCACGCAGTCGAGGGTAAGTCTGTGGGAAAGCACGACCTGATCATCAGATTCCTGAGGAGACTCGCCCTCCTCTCGTTCCCTTTTGGGACCTCTCAGTGGTTTTAACTGCTCTGCAGAGTGCTCCCTTTGTATAATCCGTCCAATAGAAAGAAGAAACGCCATAGGCGGGTGACGTCATCAACCAGGAAACTATAAAGCACACCTAAAAACTAGCGCTAACGTCTGTGCCTTCAGCAAGTGCTCCCTGTATACTGTCCCTGTCTATTTATTGTTTTCTTTCATTGCAAGCTCAATATTTCACAGAAAGATATATACAGTATATATATACACAGTATACATACATATGGTGGGTTGTTCCCTGTCCTGTTTTATCACAGGTGGGGACACACATCAGCTTTGTACACGTGCTTCACGACGCAAACATGCAGGGGCATTCCCACAGCGTCTCACCGCAAGGGAACTTACAGAACATAAGGGAACTTATATAAATTATATAACTTAATAGTTAAAATATTTTGGTGAGTGAAAAGTAATGTATTTGTTTGTATGTATGTATTAATGTATGTTTTTTACAGTTTACTGTTCAAATTGTTTTTTGAACGAGATTAATGTTTAGCAAGACATTAAATTGATCAAAAGACATTTAGAAAAGTTTTCTATTTTAAATAATTACTGCCTATTGTTTTTGTGGTAACTATTTTCAATATTGATACTAAACGAAATGTTTCTTGAGCGTGAAAGCAGCATATTAGAATGATTTCTGAAGGATTATGCACACTAACAGTAACACTTAAGACTGGTGTAATAGCTTCTGAAAATTTAGCTTTACCATCACAGGAATAAATTACATTTTAATATATATTAGTTAAGTTTTTTTGTTTTTTTTTTCATTTTAATTTTTAATATATATATATATATATATTTTTTTTTTTTTTTTTTGATAGGGACAATGCTCATTAATCAACAACAATACATGTTGTAAACAAGCCAGAGTTAGCTACTCGTGCTAGTTTCCATCTGCTGTCCCTAGCCAGGTCTTAGCAGGCTGCCTAAAATGCAAAAGTCAGTAAAAAATACATTTAATAAGTACAGTAGTAATATGATAAAATATGAACAGGACATATCAGGATCAATATAAGCCTAAAAAACATAAAGAACATACACAGGCCATATATAAATATACATACACTCTCTCATCCATACATATACGCAAATAAATGTACACATATACATACGCACATCTCTACATACATTCATACATGTACACAACCCATATACACATACATCCATCCACATATACACATACAAGTGTATTTTAAACCTAAGTATAGGATGTATGCTTACACGTATAAGTGTCCCCAAACCAAGACCTAAGTTGTTTTTTAAAAGAGAAGAGACTATTACACTCCCTTAACTCATTGGGCAAACTATTCCAGAAAATTGTGGCTCTAATAGAGAAGACTGCATTTCCAAACCTGCTTTGTCTATACTGAACAATGCAGTCCCCTCTTGTTGTTGCTCTAGTAACTCTATTGGCCTTGTCTTTCTGTTTTATGAATTGGCACAGTGGTGGTGGAGCAAGCCCACGGAGTACCTTAAAAACAAGACATGCATCAGCAAAATGTATGAAATTTTCAAAGCTGAGCATATTGTGTTTTTTAATTATAAGACAATGATGATGACTATTTCCTTTCCGGTCCAGAGTCTTTAATGCCTGTTTATAAAGTGACTCCAAAGGTTGCATTGTTGTTTTGTTTGCTTGCGACCAACTAGTTAAACAGTAAGAGAAATGTGAGAGAATCATTGCATTCAGAACGATTTTTGCGGCCTTCATTGATAAATAGGATCTTATATGCTTAAAATTTGCTAGGTTAAATTTAACAATATTGGCAACCTTTTTAGTATGCTTTTTGAATAATAGATTTGAGTCTAGGATGATTCCCAAATATTTACAGTCCGGCACCACTCTAATCTTCTCTTGGTTGACAAGCACCTCAGGGTCATAAGTGACAGTTGTTTGTTTTGTAAAGTACATGCAGACTGTTTTATTAATGTTCAAGTGTAAGCATGAATTAGTTAGCCACCTGGATACCTTACTCATGGCCTCAGTCAGTTTGTGTGCAGCTTGTTGTTTATTTTGAGCAACAATATATATAGTGTATATATATATATAGTATTATAGTATTTTGCTACTGCTAAATAACTGTTATTATTAATGTAATATATAATATAAATATTATATTATATGTATAAATATAATTAATGTTACTTATTGCTAATGTTCATGTTTATAACTGTACTATCAAGTGTTACCCATACTTTTTTGTTGCAATGTTTATTTGCAGATTGTGTGAAATTAAATGCATAATTTGTATACGCTATTTAAAGCCACACTGTGGAACTCTTCAACCTTTATAATATATTACCAAAACCCATTGAGATGGTAGATCGACTTACTGTACAATAGGTTGAATGTCGCTTCTACCGTATCCTGAAGGTGTCTGTATCGCTTTTACTAACACTTTGTAAGCACAAAAAGAACTACAAAATTCGACCGCTTTACGGCATACGTCACTTCCCCCACCACCCACAACTTCCTCAGATTCTGACGTTAGTGCTCAACTCGTGTTTGATTGCCGTCTGTATGTTTTCGTCATGGCCGAACAACAGCTACAAGGAAGAAGGCAACGGTTTTATCAGAGGAAACTTAAAAAAGAAAACGGGAGAGTGACAAATTAAAAGCCAGGTTGAGGATTAACACATTGGTCTAGCTTTCGCTTCGCTCGCTGGCGTGAGCTAAAGGAGGAGGAGGGGTGCTCGACCGATGCGGACGCTTGCCTTCACACAAATGCCGTTTCCAAGGTAACCCAGATAAATTCATATAAGCAGTGTAGTATTTTCTGGTATTCCGGCCACAGCCGATGGTGTTATGAGTGTAATAAAATGCCCACAGCCCAGTGTTAATTTCTAAAAACACAGCTCAGTGCAGGGCTCGCACTAATAAAATCGACTCATGTCAAATATAACGTTACATTAAATGTAGTGAACGTGCCCACGACTGCGTAGTACCCACAAACACTAACGTGACACACCACATGTCCCACGTTTTTTCTGTAAAAATAAACCAACACACAACGTTACAGTCAGCTCTGGCCAACAGTGTTTTCAGTGCAGTGAATGTGTCCGCTGTGTGCCCGCTGTCCCGCACCCACATTCACTCACAGACATGATAAGCTCCACGGGGCTCACCCTACTCGTTCTCTCTCAGTCGACTGCTATAAGGGAATCGAGCGAGGCAAGGCTGCCCACCTCAAACACTAAAGCACACACAATCTAAAGACACGGGAGGCTGACCGGTTGACTGTTTGTTGACTTTAATTTGCGACAGTGCTGCGGAGCTTGTGGCCTCTAGTGACGCTAGACGTGAAAGTCACAGGTCGAGCACCATCTGGTGACCAAAAAGTTCCGCAGTGTGCCTTTAAATAAAAAAAAATAAAAATTCTCCACAAAAATGCATCTAATTATGACTATGGAAGTAATATAAGGACTCATTAAAAAAAAAAGCACTCATTAAATCTGTCATTTTTGTAGCTCTTGAGGCCAGAAGAGGTTGAGATCCTGGTTTGTGGAAGTCCTAATCTGGACATGGGCTCTCTGCAGCGAGTGGTGCAGTATGAGGGCTACAGTAAGACTGACCCCACCATCCGGTACATGTCTTGTATACAATTTGTTATAGTCATGCTTTCAAATGCATGTCTATTGGTAGAAAAGTGACTGTTCTCTTTGGTGTTGCAGGGCCTTCTGGGACGTGGTTCTGGCCTTTTCTTTGGAGCTGCAGAAGAAACTGCTCCACTTTACCACAGGAAGTGACCGCGTTCCTGTGGGGGGAATGGCCGACCTCAACTTCAAGATCTCCAAGATTGATGTCTCCACTGACTGGTAATCATCACAATGGCTGATTACAGTAAAACGACTGCATGCATGTTCATTCTCAACAGTTTATTTATTCATCTTCTTCGCAGGCTTCCAGTGTCGCATACATGCTTCAACCAGATTTGTCTACCTCCATACAAGAGCAAGAAAGAATTACGGCAAAAGTTGACTATAGCCATTTCAAATGCAGAGGGCTTCGGATTGGAGTAGATTATAGTTGTAGATCTGATAATCCAATGTATGACTGTATTCAGCCTGCATTCACTGAAAGATAATGGGCAATGATATTGATATATGATGATTAAAGGGGAAATGAAGCAGTGAATCAAGTTTACATGATTTACAAGATGGATTTCCAATATAATCAACAATTATATAAGGAACATTACAAATGTAAACATTTAGAAGAAAAGAAGGAAAAACTTTGTATCTTTCGCCGCCAGGGCGCCGCCATTGTGCAGTTGACGTCACGGGGTTGGTTGGCTCAAGTTTAACAGGCTCTGGGCATTGAAAATCGCGACATCAAACTGTGTTTACACCAGTGTTTTGACCGCGAACGACTAATGTTAGGTACAGTTATTAGACAAAAAGTCGACGTCTCATGTTATATGTTGACAAACTGCACATAGAAACATTGTTCGCGATGTCTGCCGTCAGATATTCCCGTCTCGTCAGCAACATGTAAGTTAGCATGTATTTGTTAAAGGGGAAATGAAACGTCCATATTTTCGCACTAGTAGTGCTAGTAGCTACAGCCTACATACTAGGAAAAAGTGTCTCCGCTCTGACATCCTTCAGGGAAAGCATCGCCGCTTCCACACGTCTAACTCCCGGCACAGCATGGTAACGCGCCGGTGATGCAGAATTGACCACGCAATACATGCTCAAGATCAACCTCTTGACAGCAGATGGACTCTGACACGGACAAGTCCGCAGACAGACCCATCTCGACACGGAGGGCATCGCAGTACAACAGCCACACTGACACCTGGTTAGCATTGCAAACCCGCTCTTCGCCCCAAACCACCACCGGCTGTTCTACATAGCAACGTAACTTACATGTTGTTGACGAGACGGGAATATGTGACGGCAAACATCACGAACAATATTTCTATGTGCAGTTTGTCAACATATAACATTACACTTTTTGTCTAATAACTGTACCTAACATTAGTCGTTCGCGGTCAAAACACTGGTATAAACACAGTTTGATGTCGCGATTTTCAATGCCCAGAGCCTGTTAAACTTGAGCCAACCAACCCCGTGACGTCAACTGCACAATGGCGGCGCCCTGGAGGTGAAAGATACAAAGTTTTTTCTTTTTTTCTTCTAAATGTTTACATTTGTAATGTTTCTTATATAATTGTTGATTATATTGGAAATCCATCTTGTAAATCATGTAAACTTGATTCACCGCTTCATTTCCCCTTTAACGGCCAACAGGGTTGTGCATCAACTAAATTTGGATTTTTGAATGATAGTGATCAATTCAGTTCACATTCACTCTCATGAAACTATTCATAGGAACATAACACACAGCAGTGATATTGCTGAAACTTTACATCTAGAGCTTACATTATGACATTGTGGAGTGTGTGTGTACAGTGTAGTATTTGTTGTGAACCAGGGTTCGATGATGAACCCAGTTAAGCTGTTCATCTTTAGTCGTTATGTAATTTAGACTCCTCGTTGCTGACTGCTTGAGTGAAGGACCGAACATTTTATATGGTATTAGAATATGTGGATTTTATGGATAATACAGTGTATATTTGTTCAAGAAGCTCAATTGTACTACAATATGAAATGAAAACTAAAATGTTTTAGGATTTTCTCTTCAACATGGCCCTGGTCTAATTTCCCATGCTCCTGTTGAAAGTAGGTCAGTAAGGGGCTTGGTCTCAGCTAAAATAGCCTGGCAAACAGGCTGTCAAACATTCTTAAAGAGACAGCGCTGTGTATCCAGGGTTACAGAAGCCCACAGTTAATAAAAGCTTCTGTGTGAAACATTCCTTAAATCAAGCATTTTCTGATGGGCTTTTAAAATGTAGCTGTAAATAAACTTTAAACTTTTTAAGGAAAGGATTGAGCTCAAATGTCACGGTTTTGCTGAGTGTAGTTTAGTAATTGTCGACAACCCTTTCTCAACCTCTCTTAGGCATGAAAGGAAGTTAGGTAATGTGATTTTTGTGTGTGTCAGTGAATGTTTCATGTTTGTTGGCTAGCCATAACATGGATGAACTTTTTTTTTGGTTATTCTTTAAATAGTGGTTGACAGCAGTATTGGTCGCAACAACAAAAACATTATTTATTTTACAATTAATATTCTGCTTTGTGCCATCAGTTTCATGATTCATTTAGGACACAATCGGAGGTCTAGTGATACTGCAGCATGCTAGTAAATGGCCTCTAACTAGTGGGGTGTACATCAGTCACCCTACTTATCCTGGTTTGGCTTGCGTAATTGGATACTTGTAAGGGGTGTATTTTTGCATATTTGTGGCTCATCATGTGATGTGATTTTCTTTTATGTATTTATATCGTCTGTCAGTCTGAATCACTCAAGTGTTAATGCTATGGTTTTATCTTCTCCAATGACTGAATACAAATGTATTTACCGTGTATTTATTTGAACTTTGCTCATTCATTTTTAATGAATAAAGTTATACAGCAGAGATTTTGTTATGTTCTGTGCTGAAAGAGAGATTCCTTAACCTGTATTTTAGTTAGCTCTGAGTTATTGCCACCTCCTGTCTAGAAAGTGAGCCTAGAGTATTTCTTAGAAGTCATGAGAAGAATCGGAAGGTCAAATTAAGAACTACAGAGAGCACAACAAGCGCTGCATACATTTCACCTCACGCTGCTGCCATCAAACCCAACAGTTTCTAAAACTGCTTTACAGTGAGTAGCTGAATGGAGTAGCTGAGTAGGCAGAACGGGCCCCTGAGGTCACTGAGGAAGAATTGGCACCATAAAAAGAGGTGAACACCTTTCTCCCTTGGTTGGGACCACCCATCAGTTCTATTATTCAGTTAAAAATTCTATCAGAAGCCGGCTTCTTCCATAATCTCGACACCTCAGTATGGAGATCATGAAAAAACGGCAAGCACCGGCGTGGAGGTTGCACACGGGAAGGGAGAAATCTTTCATCTAACTTAGATTTAACAACAGACTCCTGCCTCGAGATGTCCACATCTCCCTCGTCAATACTTTTTTTTTAATCTCAGTTTTTTTTTTTTTTTATTAGATATTTGCAACACATTCTCATCCCAAAAAGTCATATAACTGACGTCTTGGGACGTATTTTGACCGTACGTCAATATCCGCCTTTTTAGGGCCCCCTTAAACGTCGGTAGATGGCGATCCCGGGCCGTCATACAACTGACGCTTTACCTTTAACGTCAGTTAGGTGACGGGTTAGGTTTAGGTCTGGGGTAGAGTTAGGATCCCGTAACCTCATCTACCGATGTTTAAGGGGGCCCTAAAAAGGCGAATATTGACGTATGGTCAAAAGACGTCCCAAAACGTCAGTTATATGACTTTTTGGGATGAGATTGCGTTGATATTTGCAGGTACCTCAGCCCGGGTGGAACCCGCAGAGCGTACTTCCGAACCAGGACTGAGACACTGGATCCAACAGGTAAAGGCAGAGATAAGGCAGATTCCATCTCTAACCCCGCTGAAAGATCCATTTGCGCTCCCCACGATAAACGTTGCCGCTCAGCCTCTGCAGAAGCGGGACCCAAACCGTAAAGAGCGCGCACCGAACCACTCTCCTCAAAGAGTGTTCAACGGGAGCGGAGCGTCCATAAAGGCAGACGATCACAAGAACACAGAGAACTGACTGGGCATGCTGCACTCCCAAACAAACAACAGATAGCCATTAGATAGCGCGAGCAGGGAGAAATACGCTTCTTAAATGCTGTTCGCTCGCCATAGTCTCTTATACAAAAGTGTTTGTGTGGTGTAAATGTGATAACTCCTGCCTATAGCAAATACTAAAGACAGACACAGTGTTTACACTCAGACAGATTCACATATAGCGCTTTTTGAAGGCACTGAAGCTGATGCGCTTGTGTGTTCGGGGTGCTTTATAGTTTCCTGGTCGATAACGTCGCCCGCCTATGATGTTCCGTCTCTCCATTGGACTGATTCCATACGTGCTTCATGACGCACAACGCGGGGGCATTCCCACAGCATTCGATGCAGCTCGGAGTTCCCTTGAAAGGGAACAGTTGTTTCAATTATTTTGTGGAAACCAATATCACTTTTTTTGTAGGATTCTTTGGTGGATCTTATAGCATTTATTTCAAATAGAATTTAAAATCTTTAATGTTATGAACAGTGTTGCGTAAGTCACTAATTTCAACCTCTGCCAGTTGAAAAATACAAGGATGTAAATAAAACTGCCTTTTTAATCCTTTCAAATAAATACAAAAAATGTATTTAAATGTCAGTCTTAAAAATTTAGATGTTACATTCACTATTGTTTTATATATAATTGTTCTGTACAGTATTTAAAGGGTTAGTTCACCCAAAAATTTAATTTTTGACATTAATTACTCTCCCTCATCAGAAGTAACTGGAATCAAATTACAGAAAAATTAAGAGTAATCCCATACTTTACTTTTTCAAGGGAAAAGTAATTAAATTACAGTAATTCAATACCTAATGATTCCAACACTGGTTATAAATGCCTTTGTGTCACTTGTAATATATGACTACTTGAAAAATCCCCAATCTTACCTCAGATTTGAATGTAAGTAGTCAACCAGATAGTCTCTTCCCCAAATGCTATTGGTTCACCCAATAATGCTAATTGTTAATGCAATGGCTTTGCTCTGGTGTTGTTGTTAAACAAGTATAATTTCATCATGAGGAATGACTTTCTTGGTACCTTTAGCTGTCAAAATGAGCCTCCCAGCTCACAATTTTTTAGTTTTTTGATTCTGGTTGCACTCTTCAGAATGTCAGATTTTTTTGAGGTGCACTGAAACATTCATTGGTTACTCTTCCTACATAATTTGTAGCAATAAACAGTAGTCAAATATCTGTTTAGCATATCTTAGACCTTTCCAACAATATGTAGTTTGTAATAATTAGATTATGATTTAATAGTAATATAGCGAAGAAAAGTTATGTATATACTGAATGGTGACAATTAAAAAGCATGACCAAGCAGACTAATATTTGAGAAGAAAAAAAAAATAATATCAATAAATTGTACATCATGGGATAGCAAAGAAATATAGGGGAGAGCGCATTTTGGTTTTGGCTCAACTAATTAAAAAATAATTAGGTTAGATTAATATTTTGGTTACACTTTATTT